TCTCTCTCTCTCTCTATCTCTCTCTCTCTCTCTCTCTCTCTTTCTTTCCTTTCTCTTTCTCTCTTCCTTACTCCTTCTTCCCTCTTTCTTTCTTCCTTTCTTTCTATCTCTCCCCCCCCCACCCCGACAAAGACAACGGCGGTACTCCTAAAGGCGGAGGTAACAACTTCCCCCTCCGTGGCTGGAAAGGTTCTCTCTGGGAGGGAGGTATCCACGGTGTGGGGTTTGTCTCCGGCGGGAGGGTGCCGCTGAAAGGAACAGTCAACCGAGAGCTGATCCACGTCTCTGATTGGTTCCCCACGCTGGTGGGCCTGGCACAGGGCTCCCTCAACGGAACGAAGCCTTTGGACGGAGTGGACCAGTGGGGCACCATCAGGTATGGGGCACGATCAGTCAAAATAAACTTTTAGTAGTTTATCACTTTTCTTTGTTTCTTTGTTTTTTTTGTTTTTTTTTCTTTTTTGAGCTCTCTCTCTCTTTCTTTCTTTCCGTTCTCTTTCTTTATTCCTTTCTTTCTTTCCCTCTTTCTTTTTCACTTTCTTTGTTTCCTTCTTTCTTTTTCACTCTGTTTCTCTTCTGTCTTTCTTTCTAAGTGTTGTCTGTCCAGTGGCTGATGCAGCCCTTCACAAGTGAACCCCACACTGTTTTATCAGCTCGTTCTGTACCCCGGAGGGTGTACCTGTCTCCTCTGTGATATCATGACACGCTTTTTCTGGTCTCTCCAAAGTCACCTCGCCGGCTGCTCTCTCATATACTTCAAATTTTTCTTTTTCAATTAATGTTTTTATATTTTCCTTGATTCTTGCTTCGTGTCTAAAACAGATCTTTTTGAGCTTGTGCGCGGTGGAGTCACCGTATTGCAAGTCTCGACAGATTCCCAAAAGCTGGTGATAGCATTGTATGATGAGTATGTCATTTTTCAGCCAGATGTTTTTGTCGACTTTCTTCTTGTGTATGGAAAAAAAAGGTTATTATTTTTAGTTCTGAAATACCTTTCTGCACTGTTCATAATTTGCATTTTGTTTTGGACTGGGGAATTTCAAAGTGCAAAATGTGTCCTACAACTCAAATAGAAAAAGGCTAGTTTTTGCAGTACTTGTGATTAGATCAAGGGTCTGTTTTGATTCGCGTATCTGAACAAATGGGGTTTTCCTGCCCCCCCCCCCCTTTCCCCCTTCATCAAAAAGGAGGAATGATTGAATGAATGGGTGGAATAATTAATACGTGTCACGACGCAGTGGAATCCGGCACTTGTCAATTTTGGGTCGTATGGCGTTATTGGTATCATCTTAAAGCCTGTTCATTTGCCTAGCTTTTGATGAACGAAATATCCATTTATCTTGGATACAAATCAAGCTATTGGCGATTGAAAGGGGTGGGGGTCGCCTGGTTTCCGAGATAAATTAGAGAGAAAGTGGCCGCCAAACTTGAGTTATTTCCTTTGCCTAAGACTCCGTTGAAACTGAAAACTGTCATCTTTTATGTCTTTATTCAACGCTTTTCTAGTAAAACCGACACAGAAATGTGTTCTTTTATGGGCATGAAAGGTGTTGAGCCACAAAAAAACCCCCAAAATATAATAAAAATTACCAAACCTGCGGAAAAATGGCAGTTTGACTTTCATTATTTTGACTAACGCCTGATTTCCCCACGCTATCTCACACATTCGTGACTGGGAAGTAAAACAATTCGTGTATTCTTCCAACAGCCGCGGAACTCCCAGCAAACGCACAGTCCTACTTCACAACATCGACCCCTTGGCCCGTACACTCGGCGTCCCTCTGTACAACGACACGTTCGACACCACGGTGAGGGCGGCTGTACGGGTGGGCCACATGAAGCTCATCACCGGGGAACCTTACAACGGGAGCTGGGTACCGCCCCCTGGATCAGCCCACAAGTTTGAACCTGGTGAGAGGCGTATATTAAGATAAGATAAGATAAGATAAGATAAGATAAGATAAGATAAGATAAGATAATACTTTATTATCCCAAAGGGAAATATTTTTTAGCTGTACTGGACCGTAAAAACACATGCAGGTATACTTAGTGGCATGTCGCTACTACTACACTAGAATTACAAACTTCTATCTACTCAGTACCTAGTTTTGAGAAATTTCATTTGACGTAAGAAATTTTGAGCTTCTCAACATGCCAAACTTTTTCGAATGCAATTCTTTGAATATCTTGATAGCAACTCCGAATAATCGTATGACTTTGATAGAGGAGATAGAAGAGAATAGTTTGGTTTCTCACCTCATTGTCTGAACAACTCAAAGCGGACAGAAATGTCAGATGAAACGTTGTAATCCTGGGGTAGCCAAGCGATATCTGAACTTTCACTTGGGTCGATGCGAATATTGCACAGAGATCTGAGCCTCTGGTGCAATTCTCCCCCACGGTTACAAGAGGGTGGGGGGGGGGCGGGCTGTTTTCGTAAATGGTGATAGATAGATAGATAGATAGATAGATAGATAGATAGATAGATAGATAGATAGAT